TACAAAGAGGGAGACTGGATCAGTGAAATGAAACTCGCTAAAGGTTTGGAGTAAATTAAAACTGCTGTGAGCGATGTTTAAATTGAATCCGGAAAGTAAGACAGGTTTTCCTTGGTCGTTCTTTGTTGGCAAAAAAAAAAAAAAATTAGACCATCCTCTCCGACACAAACTACTGAAAACATTTCAGCAAGTACTGACACAATAAATCCCCTTCCAAAGGACCAAGCGTCGCTTACTTTGGCTTACTTTAGCTTCCTTTGTTCTTAGAAGTTCTGGAATTTTGTTAAGCGAATGTTTCGGTTTTTTCTAGAATTGCTAGAATTCACTGAAGATCGTCATCATTGGGAGTCAGTGGAAGAGAAGCTTGATGCGATCAGGTAAATTTTGTGATTTTATTTCCTGTCTTCGTTTCACTTATTTGGCTACCCACTCATGCGACCACAAACCTCCCAGACACCCAAACCACTATTCAAACAGATTTCTCAGAATCTACCCACTCCCTCATCCAGCCAGAAAGTCACTGACCTACCTTGACACCCACTAAACCAACCATCCGGCCATCCGCAGAGTGAAAGACCTGGCCATCTAGCCAGCCAACATTTTTATCTATTCAGACACCTTCTTGTGCAGCCAGACACCCACTCACCCAACTGGACAGTTATTCACAAACTCTTAGTCATCCTCTTACCTACATCAGACACCCACCCATCTACCCAAACACATACTCATCCATCCAGACACACAATCATGCACACTCAAACCCATACATGCATCTTTCTCGGTACTTGCTGACTCTTTCACCAAGGCAACGGTCATCCATCTACCCGGACACCCACTAACTTACTCAGATACATCTTAAGATCCCCTGATTGTTTTTCTTTTCAGGGACATGATGAGAAAGATGGTCAAGCAGATGAGGCCTGATAGAGAACAGAGAGCCGTCAGTCGAGATATCTCTGAGTGAAATCTTACGTAACGCTTTCAGTTCAATGTATAAAGTAACGTTTTACGTCGAACGCTATTAGACGTGAAAATACGGAGTCATAGATGATAGCCAGAGTTGTTTTTGCTTGGTTTATAATACACATATCAAAGGAAACAAAACGAACTATTACAGTAAAGTTAAACAAATGAACCTTGAGGAACTTGTAAAGCACATATTTATAATCTCAGAACATAGATGTATTTTAAATTTTATTTGCATATCTATACAAAGAGCACTGCTAGTAATAATAAACTGGTATATTGCATCTTAATTTATATTTAGAGAATATATTTTATAACTTATCTACCATGGTATGTATCCAGAAAAGTTAAATTGTCTAACAGGTTGTCACATATACATATATCGAGGTACCTAAAAATACTGGAAGGGAGTAATATAAATATGATTTAAGTTGTTTCTATTATCATTATTATTATTATTATTTTATCATTATTATTTTATTATTATTATCATTATTATAATTATTGTTAGTATTATTTGCAACTATTTAATAAATATTGTAAGGAAAGACCGCAGACTGCCATATGTTGTTTAGAATGCTTAGGTGACGGGTTCGGATGCGTCCTTGTCATTTCTTTCCACGTCCCGAAGGTGTTCTCGGAATCGGTCACCCAGTCGTCTTCCTGTTCGCCGATGTATAGCTTATTGCAATAAGTGCAAGTTATGCAGTAAATAACATTGGCGGAGGTACACGTAAAGTGATCAGTGATCTTAATGGATCTCTTGGGTCCCGATATTTTCTCTACGTTATGAATGAAAGAACAAGTTTTGCATCGTGAGCGAGCGCATTTGAAAGTTCCAGATTGATCATTGGTTTGAAATGAACTCCTGACTAAAAAGTTGCCTATATTTTTGTCACGTTTGAATGAAATAAGTGGGGGTTGTGAAAAGATAGTGCCAGTCTCTGAATCGTTTTGGAGTAATTTGAAATTTTTAAGAACAATAGATTTAACTGCGCGGTTGTGAGGGTGAAATGTAAGAGTAAATGGAATGCGG